ATATATGGTTCCCCAAATTTTTCTCTCAGTCTGTAGGTCATAGCTTCATTTCATTGTTACAGTCCTTTGTTGAACAAAAGTTTTTTATTTTGATGAAGTCTAATTAATCTATTTTGCCTTTTGTTGCTAGTTCCTTTAATGTTTATATAGCAATTTGAAATAGTAATTTTATGCCATTGAACCTAATACTTTAAAAATTGGGTTTATATTTTTACACATACATACTTCAGGGGATATTGTGGATTTGGTTCCAGACCACTATAATAAAGTTAATATCATAATAATGTGAGTCACAGAATTTTTTTGGTTTCTCAGTACATATAAAAGCTATATTTATACTATACTGTAGTCTATTAAGTGTATGATCACATTATGAAAAAGTTTGAAATATTGTGAGAATTATCAAAATGTGACATAAAGACATAGATTGAACACAAGTTGTTGGAAAAAATGGTGCTGAGAGACTCACTTAATGCAGGGTTGCCACAAACCTTCAATTTGTAAAACAAACCACAGTATCTGTTTCATTTTTGTTGTATTTTACAAAATTATTGGTCTGCAACAGATTGGAAATTTTAAAATTTGTTTTTTCAGTACTTATAGTTTGGGAAGCACTGACCTATACAACCATTTCAGGTATCATTTGGCCCCAGAACTGTGTTGTAAGGTTAAAAATATGCAAATTCATACTGTCATTAGGAGTTGGATATCAACATGAATGTGGTTAAATTCTCACTAGATGGCAGCATTATTTAAAAAATCAAACCAAGGTCAGGGGCTATCACTGATGGAGAAGAGTCAGAAACAATGTCCAATCAACAGACAGACAAAAACAAATAGCTCTCATTCAGTAGTCAGATACCTGTTAGGTGCTAGGTGCTTTATAGGTGATGTCACATTTAATATACAAAACAACATTACGAGTTGAGCACTCTCATGCTCATTTTACACCTGAGAAAGCTCAGAGAGGTTAAGCTCATCTTAAATTCACACCAGCAATCCAAGGAAGAAAAGACCTGGTGATTTGTTCCTGTACAGATTACAGGAAACCCTATAGGGTAGTCCTACATTGTTACATGAGGTGATGGGGTGGCTGTGAGAGGGAGTCAACTCAATGGCACACAACAGCAATAACAGCAGCAACATACTTGTGGATGTAATCTCATTAGGGAATAGAATTTTCTTAGTTATGTTAATGGGGTCCTATCAGTGTGTTTTAAGCCAATCACTTCTGACATATAAAAAGAGCAGGTTAAGCACAGAAGAGAGGAAGCACAACCATAGAAACATTAACACCATGTGGAGATCACCGCAACCAAAGAACAGAAGTTGAAAAAGACAAGGATTTTTCCCCAGAGCAGAGAAAGCCTTCCCCTAGAGCTTGTGCCCTGAATTCAGACTTAGAGCCTGACTGTGAGAAATAAATTTACGTTCTTTAAAACTATCCATTTGTACACTTGTAGTGTTTCTTTTCTTTTTTAAATTGTGATTTGGGTGAAAGTTTACAGAGCAAATTTGTTTTCCATTCAACAATTCGTAAACGTTTTGTTTTGTGAAGTTCATTGCAATTCCCACCATGTAACCATACTCTTCCCACTTCCTCCCTGTGCACTTGTGGTATTTCTGTTAGAGCAGCACTAAGAAACTGAGACAACAAGGATCCATTTTCAGTCAAGACTTCACTAGTCAACAAAGATAAGACCATTTATAATACGCTATGGATTATCATTTGGTGAAATTAAACTAGCAAATCTAACTGTCCATTTGTAAATATAGATGTCAATGTTAAACAAATGAAAATTGTTTTAGAAACTAGCTTTTGTTATTTCTAATTTGAGAGTCTTAAAAACATTGATTTGACCACAAAGTATCTGAAGAACAGAGGCTTCACACATATTCTGAACTTTTTCCAGTTGCCCATCATGTGGGCCACATGGCAGGCATACCTGGTATTCCAACGTTTTCAGATTTTCATTACAATTTCCTATTCTTGGATTTTCTAATTTTAATTCTCCAGATAAAGAGAGGTTGCATAGCCGGGTTGCCATTGGAGATCCCACTTTATTAAAAGATTAAAAAAAAAAAAAGAAGAGGAAAAAGAAGTGTTAGCTAAGATGTCCACAGCATTTACCAGGTCCTGTACACATGCCCCTTTGCAATGGGATTTTGCTACTCCTCACCATGTGGTTAAGGCGTTTGACTACTAACCAAAAGTTCAGTGGTTCAAACCTAGCAGCAGGTCTGTGGAAGAAAGATGTACAGCCTTGGAAACCCAGTGGGGGTCGCTCTGAGTCAGAATCGACTTGCTGGCAGTGAGTTTTTTTGGGTTTGGTCCATGAAGAGGTGGGTCTTATTTCTCCACTTTCAGAATCTGAGTTGCCTTTGTGACTTGCTTTGATACATATAATGTGGAAGAAATGACGGTTTTTTGAGTTCCAGAGCCTAGATCTCAAGAAGCCTTGAAACTTCACCTCTCACCCCTTAGATCACTGTCCCGAAATCTCTATGTAAGGAAGCAAGTTTAAACTACTGTAGGATGAGAGGTCATGTGGAGGAGAACCAAGGCACTCCAGCCAACAACCAGCACCAACACCCTATACATGTGAGTGAAGTCATTTTGGATCTTTTAGTGAAGCACCTGCTGTCATTCATAGTCAACCCACAGAACTATAAGTAATCTAAGTCATTATAGTTTTAAGTTACTAAGTTTGGGGTAGTTTGATAACACAGCAATAAAGACGTGATTCAGATAATTACTACAAATATTTTAGGTATATAAGACTTGCTGTGTTGATTGTTTTATATCAAAAGACTGGTGGATCACTTTTCTTCCTTTGTTGTCTGAAAGGAAACTTGTCTATAAACAAGTAGGGAGATAACAGTTTTGAATTGAATGTAATGGGGCAATACTATGCTGAGAGAAACAAAACAAAGAATTCCTACTAGATATTGAATTATATGTTGATCTTTCCTTCTTTATATAAATTTGGGTAACACTTGAAAGGCAAAGACTTCTACCATATCGCAGCATTTCTTAGATATATGGTTGGTTCTCAGTAGGTTCTTATTGAATCATCCCTAGGATTCAATACTTCTAACTTCTAGACTTTTGAATCCTTGTTTTTTTTTTTTTTAATTAAGTGTTATATACCTCAAATATTTGAGGCAATTGTCTAATTCACTTCTTTGTTGCGTGTTATCAAACCACCCCAAACTTAATGACTCTTTCCCAACCTTAATGTCCATATATGGCTAATGTTAAAGAGGTTGCTGTCATTAGAAAGGCAACTGATCAGAAGATGAACTTTCCTCAGCACCAGCTTTGGAACAGTTGCTTCTGGAAGCAAAACAACTAGAAGCACTGAAATTGGAGGTAAGTTTTACAACACTTAAAGTAGGTTTAACTTATGTGATGACTCGACCTTATTCTGTTACACAGTATAAATTTCAAATTTATATATAAACCAAAACCAAACTCACTGCCATCAAGTCAGATCTGAATCATAGTATTCCCTCCTTGGGTTTCCAAGTCAGTATCACTACAGAAGTAGATTGCCCAACCTTCCTTCCAAGGAGTGGCTGGTGGGTTTGAACCGCCAGCCTTCTGGTTAGCAGTCAAATGCCTTAGGCACTATACCACCAGAGGACATAAATAATTTTTAAGTAGCCATATTTCAAATGAATCTTTTCTTCTATATTGTGCACAAGTATCAATCTACCTACTTAAAATTATTTAAAAGTATTTGGCTATTTTCTATTTAAAGTTTAGTAATTACAAGTAATTATTAATGTAAAACTAAAATAAAATTTGCCAACAACTGGAATATGTTCTTAGAAAATTATTTTATGGGCTCAATCTGAAATTCAAAGGTAAATATAATAAATATATATTTTATTTTATTTTATTGTGGTGAAAACATACACAACAAGACATTAACTTAACTTCCACATTTACAACTCAGGGATATTGATGACATTTTTCATGTTGTACCAACATTATTGCTATCCTTTTCAAAATATTTCACCACCATTAGCAAAAACTCAGTGCCCCTCAAACAAAAGCTTCCTCTTTCCTCCTCCCTTCTACCCTGGTAACCGATAATAATCTTTGGTACATTGTGATGTAGTGAATTACTTGGTATGATTTTTCTAACCAGACCAGCCTTTGTGACTCCCATCAGATTACTCCCATCAGGACCATGCAAATAAAGTGTATGAACCTCTAACATGGTGATTGGTTAGTTTTGTCATTCTTCTAGGCTTAAAATGAACCCTCCTAGAGGCACAAGAGGGGATCTCACTGCCATCAAGAGAGAAGAACTGGAGGTAGAGTGGAGCAATAGCAATAGGTACCACTATTGAATATATAGATGCTTTGGGTAGTAGTGATATTTTCATAACCTTCTTATCCATGACATGGTATTTTCTTCCATTTATGTAGATCTCTTATAGTTTCTTGAAATAGTGTTTTATAGTTTTATTTGTATAAGTCTTCTGTGTTCCTGGTAAGATTTACTCGCAAATATTTTATAGTTTTGGTAGCTGTCCTAAATGGTATTGATTTCCTTATTTCCTTTTCAGAAACCTCTTTGCTGGTGTAGAGGAATCCAACTGATTTTTCTATGTTGATCTTGTATACCGCCACTATGCTAAATCTTCCAATAAGTTCCAGTAGTATTCTTGCTGAGTCTCTTGAGTTTCTATGTATAGGATCATATCATCTGCAAATACAGATAATTTTACTTCTTCCTTATCAATTTGGATGTATTTTATTCCTTTTCTTGCCTTTTGCCCTGGCTAGGACTTCCAATACAATGTTGAATACAAGTGATGATAGAGGGCATCCTTTTCTGGTTCCTGTTCCCAAGTGGTTTCAATCTCTCTCCATTGAGAATAATTTTAGCTATTCATTTTGCAAATATAGCCTTTATTATGTTGAGGAATTTCCCTTCTATTCCTATTTTCCTGAGAGTTTTTATCAGGAATGGATGTTGGATTTTATCAAATACTTTTTCTGCATCGATTGTAATGATCATATGATTCTTTTCCTTTGTTTTATTTATGTAATGGATGATGTTGATTGTTTTTCTAATATTGAACCATCTTTGAATACCTGGTGTGAATCCCACTTGGGCATGATGTCTTATTTTTTTGGTATGTCATTGGAGTCTATTGGGTAGGAATTTGTTGAAGATTTTTGCACCTATATTCATGAAAGATATATGTCTCTAGTTTTCCTTTCTAGTGCTGTCTTTGCCTGGTTTTGGTATCAGGGTTATGCTTGTGTCATAAAGTGAATATGGGAGGATTCCATCTTTTTCTATGTTCTAGAATAGTTTGAGTAAGATTGGCATTAGCTCTTCTCTGAATGATTGGTAGAATTCTCCAGTGAAATTGTCTGGGCCAGGACTTTATTTTCTTGGTAATTTTTTTATACCCTGTTCAATTTCTTCTTTTGTTATGAGTCTGTTCAATTTTTTTACTTCAGTCTGTGTTAGTTTAGGTAAGTAGTGTGTTTCTACAAATCTGTTCATTTCTTCTAGGTTTTCAAATTTATTGGAGTACAATTCTTCATACTATCCTGTTACTATCCTTTTTTATTTCTGTTGGTTCTGTTGTGATGTCACCAATTTCATTTCTTTTTCTTTTTGTTCTTTCTTTACTTATTTTTTATTGTGATTTGGGTGAAAATTTACAGAGCAAATTCACTTTCCATAGAGCAGTTCACATAAACTTTGTCTCATGACATTGACC